ATATATATATATATCTGTGTGTGTGTGTGTGTGGGTGTGTTAATTTTACATTAAATTTAATTATGATAAAATTTCTAAGCTGTTCATCAATATCAGCTTGGTCGACGCGCTTTGTTCACACTGACGCCTTTCTGCAACTCTACCAGATGCATCGGCAATCATCCTTCCGGCGGCGCTCCTCCTACGTGCCGCAACTATGCGTCGCCGGCGCGGTCGTACTTCTTCTTCTTTCCCTCTCGATCCTCCACATACGCCTCTCTTCCTCCCCACTAGTTCTTCCTTTCCCCTTCCGCTCCTCTTCTTCCAACAGTTCCGCCAACTCTAACTTCAATCCTCTCTTCGACGACGCCGCTAACGACGCCTTCGATGGTGGCTTTGACGACCGCATTGACGAGCTCGACGTGCTTGAAGACGACAAGAAACTCGTCACCGCCGCCGAAGATGCCGATTCCGATGTTACGGACTCCCGCTTCGGTTCCGGTGCCGGCTTATTCTGGGACCACGCTCTCGGCGTGGCACGCATGTCATTTGGTCGCTCTGTGTCGAGATCGGAGCCCGAGGTGGATTCTACGATGGATGAACTAGGCCGGAGTAAGCTTGCTTTCGGTTCGGACGATGAGCCGGTCGATGAGGGTGTTAGGACGAAGCTGGCTTCGATTCGGCAGATAGAGGATGCTCTATTGCTGAACGTTGGTGGGCACGGAAGGAACTCACTGATGCGGGATGGTTGGGCCCAATGGCTCGAGGGCAAGGGCGATTTTATTCGACGGGATCGGATGCTTCGGTCTAATCTTGAGATGCTGAATCCGAAGAACCATCCCTTGCTTCAGGATCCCGATGTTGTGGGTCTCACGGGGCTTACCAGGGGTGATCGCCTGATGCAGAAGGCGATCTTGAAGGAAATGGATAAGGTGGATTCGATTGGATTGGATATGAAGGGGACGGAGGGAAGGAGGACTCTGCATTTAAAGGTGGAAATGGAGAAGAAGGAAGAGGAGAATGGTCGGAGATGGGGTACTTTCCCCGGCCTTGATTCGAAGCTGGGTTTTTCTGACTTCATTGATCAGTTTCTTGCTATTGGTCAGTGCTCGCTCAGGGTTTTCATGGTGTGGAATAGCCCTTCCTGGAGTTTTGGAGTCCGGCACCAAAGGGGGCTGGAGAGCCTTTTGCATCACCACAGAAATGCTTGTGTTCTAATGTTCTCTGAGACTATTGAGCTGGATTACTTCAAGGATTTTGTCAAAAATGGGTAATATTGCTTTTCATTGTCAAGCCGTTGGTTCATGATTTGAATTTTGCTTAACGGACAACTCCTAACAACCGAACATGTCGGGTCATGACAATAGATGGTCTCAATTAATGTCAATTGAAACAATGAACCTAAATTAGAGGCAATTAGCATAAAGTAGAGGATACTAATTCAACAACACTAATGATTCAGAATTCCTGGGATTATTACTTTGAAGTGCAACATCCACTTGACTAGAGTAGGAAATAAGTGTTGCATCAATCCAACTTAAAAGGAAAGCAGTACGAAGATATGCTGAAGAAGTGGGTGGCATAGATAGTTTAATAGGGAATTTACAACAATTGTGCTGGGGGATCCAACGAGAGTTGAATCAAAACGATCTATAGCAATAATCCTAATTCATCGAGGTAATCGAAACATTAAAAAACAGGTCCCATTTTCATTGACACCATATCATATGCATTTTACAATTTACCATATTAGGAAAAAAAAGTAAGTTATAGAGACATCTAAAACAATATTGTTGCATATAGTTTGTATTTTCAATGAAGAAAAATTACAAAAGACAGTTTACTTCTATTGTTTCACTGATGAAATTATAATTTAGGAAAATACTTTTTTAATGTTGATTTTCATTAATTATTTTTTTATGTGGAAGTGGGTGAAGTTGATTGCAATTATTTAACTAATTTTAGAGGAAGTGCTAAATGCATGCACAATTACCTCTTTGGAATTTACATAGGATCATTGAGAACTTCCCTACCCTCCTCTAGTCAAAGATCTTATTTGTTATTTGGGTTAAATTTTTAATTGCTTTATTTTCCAAAAGGCTATCACAGTTTTATTTGATTTTTTGCTGTTATGGAGACTATATTTCTTGCAACCAGGTCTGCTAGAGTTTAATAGCTATAAGAAAACTGTTGTTTGACTTTTTCAAAAGATAAAATCATAATACTCATGACAATTTTCAAAAAGTTTACTTTATTTATAGCACTTCTATATTAACTTGTAGTTGCACCGAACGGTAAGAGTATTAAACCTACTTTTTGTTCCTTCTTTATATGTAATGTTTACAAAATGAGAAGATTTTAACAGGAAATGTAATTTGCGTGCAATTATGAAATGTTTGTTTATGATAGAAATGTGCATCCTTGAAGCCTTTGAAGCTTCTTTTCTAAGCACACTTTCCTTTTCGCAGATTCAGAATTGCTGTTGTCATGCCAAATCTTGATGAACTACTGAAGGATACTCCAGCTCACGTTTTTTCATCTGCTTGGTTTGAATGGAGGAAAACTAAGTATTATCCTCTTCACTACAGTGAGTTAGTGCGTCTTGCTGCCCTTTACAAGTAAGCTTCTTATTCATGTAATATGGTACTTGTTGTTCCATGTTCCAGATGATAATGTGCTCTTTACTGTGCTCTTTTTATTTATGGAAAATTATATTTGCTTACATCTAAGCATATCTGACTTCTCTATAAAAGCAGGTATGGTGGAGTCTATCTTGATTCTGATCTTATAGTTTTGAAGCCACTTTATTTGCTCAAGAATTCTGTTTGTGTTGAGGATCAAAGGGATGGAAATTCTTCTTACAATGGTGCATTGATGGCATTTGAAAGACGCAGGTGATTCCAATTAATTATCCTTTGAATATTACTTTAGCGTTTAGCTATGTGCATTTGCCTGCTGCTTGTTATGATATTCTTTTATTTTGAACTTGTTTGTTTCAAAAGATGTGCATATATTGTGTTGATTTTGTAGATGTGCTTTGTCTTTTCTCTTATATAAATGATTTATTTTATGATTATTACTTTATTTGACAGCTTCAGCTGTTTCTTACAAAGGGTATAATATATATCTTTCTTCCTAAATGGATATGTTTTGAAATTCTTGTCAATGCTTGATGTTTTCTTTGTTTTCTCTGTTCTATACGTGTCATTTTTGTTATTTGCTTGATACTTTAATGTATCTTCACAATGAATATGCAAATATACCAAAAGCTTGTCTTTAGAAATTTATATATCTTAGCTAATTGCTTGGCTGTATTTTGATGTAGAAGTTTGGCTGTCTATGAATATGGATAATGATTATAACTTAAGCACAAGTTAATGTTTGATTTCATTGAACAAGAATGAACAACACAGAAACACGATCTTGGGTTTACAGGTGATGATAATTGTTGAGATTTGCATCTTATTTTTAGGGGTTTAGTTGTAAATAGGAAATATAAAAGAAGTCTAGTGGTTATTTGTAAAAAGGTTGTAAGGCTCTATAGAAGCCCAACTCATGAATGAAGGAGTCTAGGGGTTATTTGTATTTATTGATCAACATTTTTTACTGATTTTTGGGTAACTATGTTCTCATAGTATCTGTAGTGGTAGTAATATGGCCTATTCTTTCATCAAAACCCCCCCTCTTAGCTGTTTCAGCAAAATATTTTCCCAAAACTTGGGAATATCAACAGTGCAAAAGCATTATACAAAATTATGCTGCAAATGTTGGTTCAATGATGATTTTTTTATGATGGAGATGTTTTTAGCTACTATGTGCTTATGATGATCAGCACCAAAATGTGTGAAGATATTCCTTCAGAAACCAAGATATTGCATTTTATCAGGATTTAGTCATCTGATTTAGGAAAATCACTTGAAATCCCTTGTCACTGTCTTCTTCTTTAATGAACGAACCCAGATTTGATGTTTTTTTTTATTCTTAAATTAAATGTATTGTCATTTCTTTCATTTTTTTTGCAAGAGGTCTTCATTTCTTGTTGTGATTATGTTAGCAAATTTGATGTAATGCAAGCTTCTTCTTTTTTATTTTTTTGGTGATAATAATGACTTTTGCTCAATAGCTATTTCTTTTTCTTTTTTTTTGCTGTCATGACCAATTCAAGCCTTCATGCCCTTACTGACATTTAGGTCATATTCTCTAGTCCTTTAGTGAAGGAATGCTTAACAGAGTTCTACTCGACGTATGATGATACCCTCTTAAGGTGGAACGGAGCTGATCTGTTAAATAGAGTGATTAAAAGGCTTCAGAGGAAAGGTGCCAAGTCCTGGGAAGAGCTTAGAATAAATATAATCTCTCCCCAGTCAATCTTTCCAATAAGTTCGACGGACATTACACGGTATTTTTCCTAACCTATTTCTCATTTAATTTGAGCACAAACTCACATAGTACTGTAAATGGTTTTCTAACTTGGTCTAGTAAGATTATCATCATTGTCATTAGTTCTATCCTAGTAATTAAGTTGGTTCTATGATACAAATTCTTCATTTATTTTTATTCATTGCTACATGATGCAAATATTTTTGGTCAAGCCTTTTTAACCTTTGTCGTTCACTTTTTTTTCTCATCCTTTCACACTAATTTTGTTCCCTCATTTGTTTGTGCATTTTTTTATATCTTTGTTGTGTATGTACATTTTTTTTTTTACCTTTTCTTGTATTCCTAAACCATCTCAATTAATTCAACAACCTAATTTTAAGTAGGTTCTACTTTCTGTCATATAATGTTTCTCATCCTATCCTTCTTAATTTTTTATATGTTCATCTTAGCATTTTCTTTGGTATCACACTCCACTTTTTTGTTAGTGACATCTTTATAAATTAACAGGCAGACACTCAAATTCAGAATTCCATAATCAATCTAATTGTAGTTTTATAAAATTTCTCTTTTAAATCCTCTTTATTTTCTCTCATCAAACGTACAGTTTAGTAATGTCTCTATTTTAGGTCCTTAGTTAAAGCTCTTCATATTCTTTTGCTTTCCTAAATTCTACCGGTACTCTCATTCTATGATCACTATTTGTTCTTCCCTTACCCAAAATAGAAAACTCCAGGGGCTGTTTATATCCCAGCAATAACTCTCTAAAATTCCAGTGAGCATCCCCATCTGTTTTCGACTTATATTAGTGACATATAATTTCTTGCTTTTTTCTACTTCGCCTATATATAATTCATCACTTTTCTCCCTAAATGAAACTGTGAATTATACAGGTACTTCGAAGTGGCAAAAGAAGAGTCTGAAAGGGCCCATCATGAAAAACTTTTCAGAATGATTCTGAATGAATCATACACTTTCCATTTCTGGAATGGAATAACATCTGCACTTGTGCCCGAGTCTGGTAGCCTCGTAGAAAAACTTTTAAATCAGTACTGCCTCCGTTGCCTTGAGATATTGTGATCTACACGGTAATTAGGAAAACTTTTCCAAGGAAGAATTCTGTCCATTCAGACGGAAGAAGCTGGATTCCAGACCGCTGAAGGAAGAGTTCTGGTTATAATTAAGCTTGATCCGAGTCTAATCCAAGCACAACTATTTTAGATCCCACTCAGACTCGGGCGCCTATCTGATTGTGAACGAAGTATCAATGCAGATGTGCGCTTTTTGGCGGGGAATTCAGTTAATATAACCTGGACTTGTGCTATTATGTTCAAGAAAATTCGTTAGGCTTGTGTATATTTCTACAGTGATCAAAGCACCCGAAACTTGCTTTCTTGGCTTCCCATTCCATCATGATAGCATATTTCCATTATTATGAAGAAATCTGAGGGTGTGGGTTTTGTGTAGAGTTTTTTTCCTTTTTTAATATGATTGAATTATCGTTTGAATTGTACCTCTAGGCTCCAGGTTTAGTTTGCTCTCAATTTATTATTTTAATAAATATTTGTATTTTATGAATCGCAAAGGTTGATTTTACTCTTTATACCTTGATCTCCTCTTCTTGATGCAGGCACTGAGCAAGTCATTAAAGTAATGTGTAGTCATTTTCAAAATTATTCTGGCTATAGTGTGAGATGTTTCTTTGATCATGGAGATAAAATGCTGAATATTCATGCTGCTTGCGGGCATCGGTTGGATTGAAGGAGTAAAAATCTAAAATTTTAACCTAACAGAAATGAGTGAAGCTAACATGAGGAAACTCTTGTATGGGAGGAACCATTGATGGCGTTTGCACCCAAATGAAATAAGCTATGTTATTTGTGCTAGTAGATTCTTCATTTCTCTATTTTAATAGCCTAAAAGCCTTAAAATGTTGTGTGCTTCCATTTTATTCATTACTGAGAAGGACTAGCAGTGTATTTTTGTTGTTTTATTGTTTCTGATACTGCAAGCTTCTCAAGGGTAACATGTACATCTCTTGTTCTTTTCCAGATTACCTTATTTTTGCCTGACATGAGCATGAATTTGATATACCTCGCCATGGATCAATTTATTGTTTTATTTTTTCATTTTTTGTAGGATGTCTTCAGCCAATAAAGATGATGACGGTGCGGTTCCCATATGTTCAGTTTGAGGTAATGCTGCATACTTTCGGCTAGCGATTATAATGACAGATAGCATAGTTCTATTTCTACTTTAAATGACATATTTTGGCTCTGATATGATATGAAGTGTATTCAACATGAAATCTAATTACCATAAGACCCAGTTAAACACATCACCTTGATAGTTAATAGTAACAGAAAACACTGACAAATACAAGTAATAAAATACAACAAATATGAAAATGCATACACAATTTTTTAAAAGTTTTGTTAAGATTCCGCTAGATCTAGTTTGGTTGTTTAGTGTTATAAAAGTTACAGGCTATGTCTTGGGTTCAATCCTCATCTGATTCCTAATAACTTCCATCTTTCTGATTGTTTTTATTGTTTTCTAATTGAGAGCTTCTTCAATTATGAATGAAAGCTTCTTTTGGTTGAATTTAAACCAATTGTACCTCCTTCAAGGAGCAAAATACATCCTTCTATTCGCTTAGCAGGTAATCGCTCTCCCTTTTGCCTCTCACAACATATCTTTATTTTCTCGTGGTTAGGGCATGTTAAATACTTATGCCAAAGACTCCATTTATGATAGTAAGGAATGAGTTTGTAGGCGTAAAACTTATACATTATTGCTCGGGAAAAGTTACAATATCTCACAATATGTGTCAATCAATAAACGATTTCTTTAAGCTCTTTTCAATAATACTGGATGTTTAAAAAATTCTCATGGCTTACAAAAATTGATTAGTTGACAATTTATATTTAAAGAGGAGATTCAACCATATTTTATGATGATTTTATTACGAGAAAATTTGGCTCCATAAATCCTACAATCTCACACTTGAAGATAGATTTGTTGTTTCTCATTTAGTGATCTTAGTTGATCTCTTCTTTACACGCATCTTCTTTAATTGGCCCTAGAATTTTACTAAGACTCGTGAAGCCTTTGCGTACCGTAAGACATTACTTTAGTGAGCTTCCTTTCATTTGATTTTTTTTAGCCATAAGCATCCTCTTTTAGCAAACTACATTTTAATTGTCACTCCATATATACGTGGTTTGTTTTAGAGTGGAAGATGACACTTTATGTCGAGTGTATTGCTCTTGGGCTACCACAAAAGAGTTCCGATTCTCCTATATTCTTCCAAGTTTGTCTAAAAATAGTTTTAAGCAAAATTATCTTATAATTTTAGATCATTTTATAAATTATATTGAGTGATTTATTTTCAAGTTGTGTATGATTCACTTCAAAACTTCTCAACATTTCTTTTTTGAATTTGGCATTTGCATAATATGAGTTCTTGTTGCATGAGCAATATTAGGAATCGTGTAAATCATTGTAATAACACATAAAATAACCAACTATGGAATCATGGATCTGACCCATGTAATGATTGCTTCTTTGATAACTTAAAGTGACTTATGGGTGCTTGTTGACTTTATTTTCATCATATCAAATCACTATAACATCTTTTGATTAAATTAAGATCGTGATAGATTTAGAATATACTTGTTTCTCTATTGTGGTTAATTCCCAAATCCAAATTTTATTTTTATTTCAAAATCTTTCGTGTCAAATTCTTTTTATAAATCTCTTTTAAACTATTGACTAAAGTAATGAAGAAAACACAACAAATTGAGTATAGCAAAATGTATAAATGCACAATATCTGTATGGTTCGATGAAAATCACTAACAATCACTAAGGTTCACGTTGCACAAATGATCAAACAATCACTAGCCTTTTGTGGAACTCAATATATAACATCTCATATATCCTCTTTATATGTAATTGATTTTAATGTATTTAACTTTCAATTAATAAAATTTTTAAAATAACTTTTTATTCTTCAAAATAAAATCACATAATATTGAATCCAATTGGTGTCTTTTACTTATCACAAGCAAATAGATAGCTTGAATAATCTTTTGCTTAGATATCAGGAATAATCTTGCTTGAGTAGCTTCTCTGCAAATTCCACAACATTATTCATAATATAACTTCATGCAAATTACACAAGTTTTCTCCTTTTCCACTTAAAGAACTATGTAGTTAGTTCTGTAATAAAGAAATCAATCTCCATAGGTTTCAATATTTGGCCAACCTCTTTCAGCTTGTAATTTCACAAAGCCAGCAATTTGCTTGATCTCTTCCTCTTTAAGCCGAGGCCCGAACGTGCATTGCCCTCTCGGCGTGCATCTCTCTCCAAAACCCTAAACACATTTATCAATAATTAGTTGGAACATAATTGGGCTCAAAGGGGGCCAAAACTAGAAAATAGAGTGTTTTATAGTTTTAATTATTTTTAAGAGCCTCAATAGTCTTAAAGGCTCCGTTTGGGACAGCTTATCTGTTGCGGCGGCGTTTTGAAAACACCGCCTCACCGTTTGGAAACTGCATTTGAGGAGTTTATGTTGGTTTTTTACACTAAACGCAGAACGCGGGTTGAACCCTGCGATCCGCGTTTCCAGATGAGCGGCTTATCCGGATAAGCACAAGCACAACCTAAATCTGTTCTTTCTTATCTTAAGCTGCTGTTGCTGCCACAACTCATTTCCACTTGAAACACTTCATATACTTAACTGGCATCCTTCCTTTGCCATAGTATGTTATGTTGTATATATCGTCTTCTGTTGCCAATCCATTCCTACATGAAAATAAAGTTTGTTTAGGCTTCTGCCCTTATGTTTATTTAGGGGTGGCTGTAATATGTGATATGTATGTAATCTCTATATTTTATTTCAGTACCTTTGGAGGTCTTTTATGAAAAGAGTGGCACCCTACAATGCAAATCAAATATTTAAGAATATTATGGAAATAATAAAAAAAACATTTAATTTATATTTATTTGTTGGAAAGTAGTTAATTAAAGGTCTGTTTGGGGTAGCTTATAAGTGCGGGCAGCGTTTTCAAAACGCCACCGTACCGTTTGGTTCGCGCGTTTCGCTAGCTTATCCGAAACTGCATTTGGGTTTTTACACTAAACGCAAACCGTGGGTCGACCCCTGCGGTCGGCCCCCCGGCCGCGGGTCCGGGTAAAAAGCCTCAGGATAAATAGCCTATTCTGAAATGCACAAGCTGCCCCAAACGGACCTTAAGTCTGAAAAAACTGAACTGGTTGGAGTATGTTTCCTCCCCTATCATGGCAGCCAATGCACGCCTTCTGAAATAGTGCTGTTCCCTTGGGGAATTCTGGCTGGGAAAATGTGGCTGCATTAATGACAGGGCCAAATTATAAGAATTTTTGGAATAATAAAGAAAAAAATATATATATTTTTTTCAGTTTTTGGGAAAATTTACATGCATGAAACAATTCTTTTGTATTTACATATCTAACACCCAATGTTTAATATTTACATTTTTAAGATCTTGGTGTCGTAAATCTATGCATCAAAATATGTATTTCACTTTTTAGGAGATAGCGGCGGTGATATTTTTGATGCGATGCTAAAGATTTGAGTGGTATGTATGTAAATATAAATATTTAAGTATCAAATTGGTAAATACATATGAATTGCCTCGTATGTATGTGTATATAACATGTACAAGCCACAAAGTGTTTTAATGAAAATTCAAAAATAAATTCATTTTTTTTTTAATTCCAATATTCCAAGGCAAGATGGTAACTTTTGCAAATACATGAATTACATATAGATGCGTATTTTGATGCTCATAAACCCTAAATATAAACCCTGCATATTTAACATTTAATTTTCTTTATTTACAAATATATGTAAATCCAAATTCCACGTAATTGAAACATACTCTTGCCATTTTAAAAAAATGAAGGGTTTAAATGTAAAATTTCATTATAATTCTTTCAGTGGCAAACAAGCAATTATTTCAAATATAAAATTCAATCGTTTTCCGTAACTTATCTAACAATGTATTAGCACGTAGCATTTGGAAATAACAACTCTAATATGAACATCTCAGCAGGTCAACTTTATTTTTTAATACATAGATATTTTTTTTCCCATGAGGCGTATTTTACATTTATATCCCTAGAGCTTGTTCTATGTCAACATTTAAAAATATATTAGTGATGTGTCATCAATATTTTTTAGCGAGCATGAATCTCAATGCATGCTCAATGAATGATCCTCTAAATTCAAATTTAAGATCAGTCGAGCCTTGATTTCAATGAGTTTATGGTCAAACTAACCGTCTCGACATGAGGAACCAAATGACATTTAAATTAGTTCAATTTGAGTCTAATCAAGCTCATATCAAGCTATCAAAGCATGTTTATAGGTTTTGATTGTCAATTTAATGATCAAATGAATTCTAAATTTGATATATTTCTAGTGTGTCGGCGATGGGAATCCAACAAGTCTAAGTCACTCAATTTTGATGTCATTAATACATCTAAATCTTTGAAAAATCACATATGATCAAGGAAGATCAGCACAAATCATTTGATCAGGTGGTTAAGGAAATTATACACCAATAAAATAAAAATATCCCTCCTTAATAGGCTATAAAATGATCTTCTCTCTTTACTCGAAAGAAAGAAGAATAAGAGGAATTTCAAAGCGTGTTCTGGAGAGAAAGCCTGACAATATCCACCGACCACTGTAGTTGTCGACCACCGTTGTCAATCACCATCGACAACCACTAGTTGTCACCTCTCGTCGACAACCCCTGCTTGTAACCTTCGTAGAAAGCGGCGCCTCTGTTCTTACACACTTATCGTGGATGACTTTGACTAGATTAGACCCGTGATTTTTCCCTTTTTGGGTTTATTCCATTTATATAATTTTGGTGTTTCCTCTTTTCATATGTGTGTCTGTTGGACCTTAGTGCAATGCTAAGACATTAAATAAAAACTATGTCGTTGCGAATTTCTTGGCACGTAACAATTATGCACATCTTTGCACACCCCAATGAGAAGATGATATAAATTAAAATAATCCAAGGGTCATTTAGTAAGAAGTAAAATTGATGTATTGTACCATATATGTATTTATTTAATATTTTGTTCAATCTTGTCGTATTAAAAAATATGATTGTTAATGCGGTGTTCTAGAAAATAGTCTGATTTGAACTAATTTAAAGTCCTTTTTTCTCTTTTTTCTTATTTAAATTTTTTAGAATAATGACTGCTAATACTTTACATTTATCAAATTAAACATCAACATAATGCTTACTTTATGTATAAGGTCAATTTAAAATGCTATTTTCATGGTAATACTGAACACCATTTGCCAACTTAACCTTACACTAGTATATTGTACACACACACACACACACACACACACACACACACACAAATCTATTGTTTTCACCTATTGCCCTATGATTGAAATTTCAACTAGCTGTATATTTAAGCATATGATAATGCTAGAGAACTGAGATAGGACAAGGCATGTCAAAGTATGACCCACCGATAGGAGACTCAAAAGCTCCAGTGTCTAGACGCAAAACCAAAATTAATGAAGGCAACCAAGAGGCTCTAACCTGAACAATTCAACCGAAAGTGAAACACGGGGGAATCTAAGTCATTCCCCACAATGAACTCAATCCAAGGGAAAAAACTAAATGCTCGGGTCTTACAATTCCCTCGGTGATATCCAGCAGCCTCCCCGAACATCAACTAGAATTAGTGAGAAAAGTCTCAGTTTTCCCTCGAGACCTATTTGTCTTAAGGGCGACTACTTATCAGATTATAGTGATTCACCCTATGTCTGATAGCCTAGCTCCGCCCTGCCGACGAGAGCTCGTTGACAGTGACCAAGGTGCAGCCAGACTCAACTAATTAATTGACACAACTAGTCGACCGAAGTCGCCTACCCTTTGTTAGTAAAATTCCATCCAATCGACAACATCAAATCTAGCTGACCGAAAGTCTTATTGAATCAGATCAATCGACGCCTCTCGCTTAGTCGACAGTAACACCTGCTAAGAGCTCGCCAATCCAGCCAGTCGAGCCATTGAGCAACCAGACCTTATGCTTAAATATGTAAAATACCTATAATATCATATATAGGCCCGACTAAAACATGGGCATAAATGTAATTTAACATATTGTATCCCTTTCTGTATAAATAGAGATCATTTTATGAATAAATGATTAAACAACTCTCTCAAGTTATTATTTATTGCTATGCATTTCTCTCTCTACTGTCTTAACACTCCATTCATTAGGTGTAATTCACGCACACGCACACACACACGCACACACACACGCGCGCGCGCACACACACACACACATATATATTACTTTTCATTTGCCTAAAAAGGTGTTATTTACTATTTAAAAGTTTAAAAAATTGATATTTCTTATATGATACAAAATATTTGGATAGTATGATTATAAAATGCAAAACTTAGGTAATAGATATGTAAATACACCTTAAATGGGTGGTATACATATAAATGCCAAAAAAAAAAAAAAAAAGAACCGGCGCATAATTTTCTTGTATTTATAAACATAACACCTAAATTTAATGTTTATATAGTGTAATAAACATATAGATAAGGTGTATTTCATTTTTAAAAGATAAGTAGTAGTGATATTCTCTTATGTAATATGAAAGATTTGCATGATATAAATATAAAATATAAAATTTAGGCATTAGATATGTAAATACATAAGAATTGAATGTTATGCATGTAAATGTCCAAATATATATATATATGTAACACAAGTTCAGCATTAGAGCCATATTCTTTGGTCCTTTTCAAGGGTTCCATTGTATGGTGCAAAAAATACATAAAAAATAATAACCTAACCTGGAACAGGGACGAGAGGATTGGATAAGGTGAGGATTGCAGAGAGGAGAGGAGTGGTTAGAAAATGTACAGTTCCCTGTGGCCTTCTGTGCTCCTGATCCTCCTCCTCCTCCTTCTTCCCCAGCTGCTTCTCCTGCTCATATTTTAAAGAAATATTAGCATATAGTTCTATACTTTCTGCTCTTTAAGAAATAGAAGAATTAATGTATGAGTTCTGAAGGAGAGCTTTTACTTTCACTGCCTTCTGTGAGGAGGAAAGTGAAGAAATCCAAGAGGAAGATGTGAGCACAGTTAAAGCATGCATTTTTGTAATGGAGAGATGGAGAGGAATGGTTAGGGTTAGGGAGAAGGGGAAGGAGGGGATAAGCAATCATGTGATAATTTATAACATCAAGTTATGCACTTAGTTTTATTTTTATGAGAGATAAGTAAAATATGTTTTTCATATTTAATATGCTCAGAATATATTTTTCATAATATTTATCACATAATCACATTGCATGTATTTCATATTTATGTAAATAAATTTTCTTTTGTATATAATTGTTTGATATTTTCACATCTTTATTTTGTAATAACAAAAGGAGAATGACAAATTCTTAAACATTGGCTTTTATGGGCTAAAGCACATAATCAGTAGCCCATGCGGCTCACGAACATCATCGCGGTTCACAATTATGGTCTATATGGCTTATGTGATCCATAGCTCCCGCAACTCTCTACTACAACCTTTATGGCAAATCGACACTCCTAAAGCAACCATCTACGGCCCACCTAGCCAACCACTGTCATGTTTATCAACTACAATTTCTAAAACAAGTTGACGCTACGGTCATCGTTTACGGCACACACGACGTATTATTTCCTTAACAGAAATTGACTATGACCCTTGTAGCCTACTTTCATAAAAAAACTACAGTCAAATTACAAATATACAACTTTGTGATTCCATCTTGGACATATGTCCTCAACATTCATATTGGATTATTTCAACTAGGTCAGACCTCATGTTTTTTCCCCATTTAAGGGTTTTTCACGTATAAATTCAAGGCATCTCCTCATGCTTTATTCTCTTTAATTATCTGAGAGTGAGCGTTGATTTTTTATATAACACTAAGACGATAAATAATTATTACTTTACTGTCACGAATCTTCTAACAAGCATCAGTAATAATAATGATGATGATAGTTCTTAATCCACAAAAGTCATGGAATGTGTGCATAAATAATATTATTGAATAAATTCAATAGGACAATTCTCTACTATTTAAGAGTTTGGTTTGTTCACCAAATGTTGCAAATTCAATCATTTGTCTCGAGCCAATCAAAGCAAATAAGACAAGCTAAATCATTCAATTATATCTTGATTGGACTTTAGTGCGTCAATAGTTTTGTCATGAAATAAATACTTTTTTTTTTTCAATAAAATATCATCAATTCGCAACATTATTCCATGCCGGTTATCAATGCGACAGAATTATACTACAACAATATGTGTAAATGTTTCTTGAACGAGCAACATCCATGTTTTAAAACTTCAGCCAAATGGAAATTTAGTTCCTAAAATTGTTATTTAATATGGATGCAATTATTTAAGTTTTAGAAAAATTTTAATTTGAATGAGTTACATAAATTCCATTGATTATGTGCTTGATTGATTAAATAAATAAATATCAATTTTTCCTTCTCATCTTTGAGGTGGTAGTTTGGGTGTCATTTCTCATTGGTAGATTGGATTCGTGCAGGAGCACAAGCTGGTTATGGTTAGGGTGGGAAGTTATCCGCCTATAATATGCATGTTGAATCTTGATTTGTTTGTGTATCACATCACAAGAGTTAGAGCGCTAGAAAGAAGACAAAGAGACAGAAAGAGGAGCAAACAGTAAGGAATAGTAGAACATCTTGTCTATTAGTCTTTTCTCATAAAATCATCTTTCTATTTATAGGGAAGATGTTACAATATGTGATATTATATTACTGTCATTGCATTAATGGGAGCTATATAAGACATTACAGATATTTGAAGTTTATGAGTCTATTGCTCGACTGCTCTATGACTCTGTCGGTTGGGCTGGTGAGACTTTTGTTGGGTAAGGCTAGTTCAGTCGGCTAAGTTGAGTTGGTTTAGTTGGTTAGCTGAACTTAATTAGCTTCAGGTTGCCAAGTCCAACGTGGTTAGCTAGACTTGGCCATTTGGTTGATCTAGTTTGGTTATCAACCTCGATCCCCAAATGAAGAGCTAATATCGATAGAACAAGACTAGGTTATCGAGCAGGGGATGAATCACCGTAACCTGATAAATAGCTCGATCATTGGCGAGGGAGTCCTTTGGGAAGATAGTGAGATTAAATTGTATTGTTAATTCTTGGTTCCTTGCGAGGAACCTCGGGGCTATCCGTGGGATGACTAGTGATGGCGAGAAACTGGATTCTTTCGTCGGGTCTAATTTGCCGAGAGGCAGGTCGATGTATCTGCTCGACTTTCCTATGATAGTTTGCTCGGGTGCTTATCTCTCTTGCTCTAGTCTGATTGGTTCAGATTCATATCATTCTTTTTGTCATTATGCTAGCTCGATTAGCTCTTAGGAACAGATTCCTGCATCCAATTGGATATGTTAGCCACTTGATCTCCTACTCGTAGACCCTCATTTGTTGCACTTCTTTTTTTCTAGACAGTTGGACCTCCTCAAAATCCACGATTGCGCATAATAAGCGCATGTATAATGCAATTTCTCTTTATGAATAATAAAATTTAATATATTTTTCTTATATAATTTAAGCAATTTAGTAATTTTATGAATTTTTATTTATTTTAATCAAATATTGGATATACGTTAATTTTTTATTGTTTGTTGGACATGAAATTAAAATATAGGAAGATTTACATAAATGCCACTTAATTCTTATATATTTACATATCATCTACCACCTAAGCTTCAATCTCTACATTAATGTAAATGTCATGTTACCCTTGCATGAAAAATGTGTATTTCTCCTATTAGAAGTTAAAATGATACTATTTTTTAATGTAAATGTAAAAGATCTGTGTGATGTAAATGTAAAAAATGAGTGCAGATGAGATATATAAATACATAGGAATTGGGTGATGCATGTAAATGCCCCTAAAAACATAATAATAAATATTAATTAATTTTTTGGCATTTTAATTTATTCGATTAAATGAAAAATAAAATTAAATCAATAATTGAAAACCAAAAATTAAAGGTTTAGAAACTAAAATCCGAACCATATTTTTTATTTTCCAATTTCGACCAAATAATATACACCGTTAAATTAAAATAAGTTTATGGTAGATTTCAAATATTAGATAAAGAAGAGGATTGATTTATGCAAAAAAAAAATAACTTTTAGTTAATAAAATAAAAATATGTGTGGCCGATCCAAACTTCGAAAAAATATTACATCAGGACTCCGCACGTAGAGTTACGTGCGGAGTCGGATGAAATCACGCCACGTGGGAAAAAAAAATCGGTCTGATAACACAGAAGAATATTCCCCCGTGTTATTTAGGTGTTATTGTATGTTATTCATGTGTTATTGTGTTCTGAGAATATTCATGGTGTTGTAATAACACAATAACACATCAATAATACTTGAATAACATACAATAACACCTGAATAATACGGGAGAATATTCTTCGGTGTTACCGGGCCAATTTTTTTCTCTATGCGTGACGTGATTTCATTGGACTTTGCACATAACTCTACGTATGGAGTCCTGATATAATATTTTTTTCTCAAACTTCATTAATCCTTATCCATTCATACAAAATTTCTTCAATGGAATCGATTGGTTATATTTTTCTTAAAACTTTAATAATTAATATGAATGATTTTATAGATAAAGTTTGTAATTAATAAATATGAAGGAAACAGCTTAATATATTAAAAAAGGGGCATTTACATATGTACCCCTCAATTCCTATGTATTTACACATCTAACCCCTAATATTTATTTTTGATGAATCTCTTATATCACATAAAAATATCACTTTTATGTCTTTAAAAAAAGTGAAAATGTAAAAATTAAAATTTATATGTTGGATATTTAAATATATAGGAATTTAGTAGTATTTTTGTAATTATTTCCTATAAAAATATAAATTCTTATTTATTTTATGATCTAATAAACTCAGTTAAATTACTATAAAAATATATATTGGTCCAAATTCTAAATACATGTATGTACCCATCAAAGTTAATAGCCATAATACTTTTGCCCTCTCTTTTTTCTTTTCCCTCTAGCTCTACCCTAGTTCTATAAAACATATAGCCTCTTCAAATTTCAAATTATGAATCATTAAGGACTATATTTTAAATTTTGTAAAATTCTACATATATATAATATTCATTTATTTATGTATATTTGTTGATACTCAAAATTAAAATTTTGATTAAGCGCTTAATTCTTCATATAAAACTAATAAATTAGTTAAAGATTTTAATGAATAGTTGATTTTTATATAATATTATTAATAAATGATTTTATGAATCAGATTAAATAAGAAATTGAATTGAATTTAAATTAGCAACGGACTTGTTTATATCAAATAAATGAAATAATATTTAAGTCATGAATAAGCTACTTACAATCAAATAATATAAATTAATATTAACAAATTAGTTCGTTAAATAAAAAAATAAAAAGACAAAATTTGCTTCAAATTCATGTGCCTATTAATAATGAATTATATTATGATATTATTAAATAAGTTCTAGTTAATAAAATTTTGTTTAAAGAACATATCATATAATTATAGAATATTTAAAAAATTAGTTGTAGAACAACAACTTAACGAGTTTGCTTATGAACAATAACTGACAAGTAGGACTTGATCAAAATTGATTCATTTAAGCTTCATCCTTAAGAAAATTTTCAAACTTGGTTCATAAAATAAGAAATCGAACACTAAAGTCTCTATTAATCATGATGCAGCAAGGAGTGAAGAATACTATAAAATGATAGTGGATGTCAATCGTACATTGATATTCAACCAATGATGAACAGGCAATGTCTGCAAAGTGACTTTAGTCTGCTTCTAGCAATTACAAGTGAAAATTGCCGATGTTGTTCATTAGCAGGTCTAAAATTTTTCAGATCCCCAATATCTTTATTTGATTTCAAATGTATCAGACAACCATTGTATGTTCTTTTGATTATAGGCAATTCATTTAATATATAATCGTCAATGACCTCGAAATTGAATGATCCTAAATATGTTATATTTCTATTATTAAAACATTTAATGTGAGTACAAGAATATAAGATTGTAAATGTATTTGTTCCTTTAATTAACATTTTAACTTTTTTCAATCATACTTTGAACACTTAACTAGGCTTATTT